GGGGGCGGTGGCGGAGCGGTGGCGACCGCGCCACTCCGGTTGACGCTGAAGCTCCCCGTCTACAGTCACTGGCGCCCGGCGGGGCCTCTCTGGACCCGCGGCTCAGGTGGCGGGCCCTCCGCGTGCGCCAGCAGCTGCTGTGCGACATGCACGACATGGCCCTGGCCCTCTCCGAGGAACGCTCGCTCCTCGTGCTCGTCAACTTCAGCCTCAACGCCACCCTCTGGTACTCGGACTGCGCCTACATGCTGAGCAGGCCCGGCGGGGCCCTGTCGCCGCTCGTCCCGGCCGTCGTCGCCGTCTGCCACCAGGTCTTCTTCGCCGCGCTCTGCGTCGCGAGCCAGCGGTTCCACGCGGAGGTGAGGATAAGGCGTGGTCACTTTTTCAATATAATAATTCAACGACAAAAATAAGGTGCCATTTTACACACTTATGAGCCTTTATGTTTCAGAGCGTTCGTATTGGGAGCTTATTATTAGGACATTTAGCAGAAACTGTGGAAACCAAAGAAACGAGCCATGAGGTAAATGGTCCAAAATGTATCGTTAAATGAATTAATTTATATGCTCAGCATACAGATTGGCCGTTTTGTCCCGTTGGATCGAAATTGGTGCACTGCGGCCTGGATCCCCTTGCCTATCGAACCTGGCCACAGGCCACAGCTCATTAGGGCCCCATGTGAATAGGCAACCCGGTAGTACTTATGGGTCCGAGCTAGTACCCATTCCCCATTCGTTACAACGGGTCAAAACGGTCACCCGTTTCGAACTCTGTGTGTGTACTTTTTAGGTGAGTTGCTTCGTTGACCAAGTTCTGCGCCAGTCGAACAGTTACAGTCTACTAGGTGTTCTTGATCTCAACTCATCTACTTTAAAAAGTGTAAGTCTGTTAAAGTGTTAATTGAAATCATTATGCATTTTATTGGATGATTATTGAACATGTTGCACTTGTAGGTTTTCGCCGCTGTAACATCGTACCTCGTCTTTATGGTCCAATTTGATATTAAAGTTCAATAATTTCGTTTTGTGATGATGGTTTTCGAAATTTAAACAAAAACGAAGTAGTGGGAGTTTCAAAATTGTTTTGGGATAAAAATGGGGAAATCAATTACGTAGTTTCTACTTGTGGAATGAATTTATTCATATTTCCTCGAAAGGATTAAACATCATCCAACTGCTCATTCAGGCTTCAATGGTCTGGAACTTTTCCTCCGTGAAGGAGAACTTGCCGACCTTGTACAATTTTTCGAAGTCACCGACAACCTTGTCCTTACGCACGATGAACACAAACGGGATGAACTCACCCTCACCCTTCTTCTCGGCCTGGAACAGAAAGCGACCACAGGAAGATCTTAGAGAACATTTCTAAGTACTCTAAAGGGGAAAGGTCCAAGAGTATGAACAGCTGTTGCCCCCACCCCGAACCTTCTCAGCCCCCAGTGAAAAAGCCTGCAGTACAGTGGGCAAAAATTGAATTACCCCCCCCCCCCTCTCCGATGTAATGTATTGCACCTGTTTCTGCTTACACCTACAAGGCCCCACTCGCTTTAAAAAAAACATTCCTAAGTTACGAAGTTTACCATGTGGTACTCCTTGTCACCCGGCATGGTCTTGTGAGGGACCACCATGTTGATGGGCATGGTGAGCTGAGGGATGTGAAGGTAGCGGGCAGCGCTCATGTAGAATGCAACCTTCTCGACGCTGTTCAGCAGCTGGTGGCGGAGGTGCGCAAATTGCTCGTCCTCATATATGGTTTGGATTCCCCTGTGGAAACGAATAGTGTCATTAATACAGTGGATTCCTCACAAAGCTCACAAGAGATGTCGGAAAACAACTACAAGCACTCATTTTGATTGCACCCTTACTTCTGGAGGAAGAACGACTGGACTTCATTCTTGGCCTTCTGGAAGGCGACGACGAAGGGCTGGTCATAGAGGCCCTTGAGGCCCGCCACCTCTTCGGGCTGGAAGTAGTCTTTTTCGGCAAGAGGTGCTCCTGGTGACGAAAACGACACAAGACGCAGCGTTGAATTCACCGATTCATCACGGCATGAAAGCACACTAGTAATTAACTACAGGAACGTTTGGCGCAGACACTCACTGTAGACTTCGATGAGAGTGGGCATCGTCGACACCACGCTCGGGGCCGCGGAGGTGGCGGCCACGGCCAGGAGGAGGACGGCGAACACGCGCATGGCTGTGCTGGAGCGGCTGCTGGAGCGACTGGAGCAGGCTGGACTGTACCCGCCGACTGCTGGGGGTGGCCTCTTATACCCGCGCGGCACCTGCTGCGGACCGCGATACGATACGGCCGGCCGGCCAGGCCGCCTCCGATGCCCGGGGCGCACTCATTGGGACAGTGATAACAAGTAATGGCGAGATTTCGCACATCGCACAGTCACAAGGGTCAAAGTAAGTTGGAGAAAATTCTCTGAAATTGTTCTTTCTTAAATGGAAAAAAGAAACTAAGGAAATGAGAAAAGGAAAGTATTTATTCGTAAACACGAGATAAAGTCCGCATTTCAAGGCTCTTGCGTTTCCCATTTTCAGGGGTTTGTGGTCACCGGGCCAAAAGCGCAGTTGACGTTATCACGCATCACAATGTTTTATTTGATTTTTTTTTTTTTTTTCGGAAAATACAACGTTTGTGTTTGCTTTGGGCATTCCCGTTTCCGCCTAGACCTAACTCGCTCTCGGCATTTGGAGAATAAGAAAATACGCATGGGCTGATCGGATTTAGAAATACAATAAAAATCAAAAGTAGAAGAATGCGCCTTCAGAATGGGCTCAAGCATAAATTGCGGATTGCGTTCGTGGTCATGGAAGTGTTTTAAAACTCCCGCCTCCGAAACCAGAGCACAGAGTGAGCCTTCCCCCTCCCCTCTTTTTCTTTCAGCGATGCTCATCTGTCGGCCCTCAGCTGTGCCGAGCAGTAGAAAACCAGCCACCACATCACGGTTTTTGCATTTTATAGACTTTTTTAAAACAGAAAACAACTAACTTTTATTTAAATATCACTGCCATTTTCCTGATACCCTGCTCATCATGCCATTTAGAAAAGCATCTCATGCTGGTACTTGGTATTCTAACAACGGTAAGAAGTGTTTCATTGTTTGCTTTGTTTACAGTGCATTGACACCAGCAGAAAATGTTGCACCCATTCTGATACCATCTAAAAATGTTCATATAAGAATTTTCTTTTATTTAAGTGCTATATTTGTGGGGTTTTTCAGTATGAATTTATTTTCATTGTCTAACTTTCAGTCAAGGAACTTGGTCGTCAATTGGATGGATGGCTTCAGGTCGTCAGTGTAGCTCATCGTCCTGCAAGGGCAATTATTGCACCGTTAGTTTGTCATCTACTTGATAAAAATATTGTTTTTATATTTTATTCTGACATTGTTTGAATATGTCAGTTTGAGAATGACTCACAATTATTTTATCCTCCACTTTTTCTCTTTAGACATGCTGGCTATAGTTACTGTGGCGCATGTGCTGCATTTGCCTATAAGCAAGTGGATCCCTCAGCGGTGTAAGTATTATTGGCAAAGGTTATATGAAACAGATGTCTTGGACTCATTTGTAACACCATGCTTACAGAAAGCGTATTTTTGTGCTGGGACCATCACATAATGTTTGGTTGCCGGGCTGTGCTCTTTCAAGTACCACAAAATACTGTACACCTTTCTATGATCTCACTATTGACTCCCTAGGTAACAATACTTATCTTTTTTTGTTATAACAAACAACTCTAAGTGTACCTGCAATAACCTGTGAATGTTCCTTTTACTATGTTTAGTGTACTCAGAGCTGGAAGCTACTGGTCAGTTTGAAAGGATGAGCGTAAAAGTTGATGAAGATGAGCATAGCTTAGAAATGCATTTACCGTACATTGCTCGGGTAATGGAAGAGTAAGTACTGTGAAATAAACTTTAAAAAGTGAATGTATATAGGGAGGACAAAAACTGTAGATAAATTTGATGTTGTCTTTTTTTGCTGACAGGTACAAAGATTCCTTTACCATTGTCCCTATTATGATTGGCTCGCTGACTGTGGAAAGAGAAGCTACATATGGCCAACTCCTTGCTCCATATTTGGCTGACCCAAATAATTTATTTGTAGTGTCTTCTGACTTTTGCCATTGGGGTCAAAGATTTCGGTACACATATCATGATCAAAAGTATGGACAAATCTTCCAGTCAGTTGAAGCATTGGACAAAATGGTAAAAAATTGAATAATCTGTATGTGCTCATGGTTTTGTAAGTCTCTTCCTTCTACTACAATTGATGTATAAAATGTATTCTAGGGAATGGACTGTATTGAAGACTTAAATCCCAATGCATTTTCTGACTACCTAAAAAAATATGACAATACAATTTGTGGTCGCCATCCAATTGCAGTTTTATTGCAGGTAAGTTGCTAGACAGTATGTTGAAAACCAAATATGTGTATTAGTAAACCAATTTAAACCAGCTTTTAAACTCTGTATGTTTTGCAGGCAGCAAGTGTTCTGGAAAAAAAAGGTAACAGGATGTCACTGAAATTTCTCAAATACGCACAATCTGATCAGTGCTTCACCATGAGTGATTCATCTGTGAGTTATGCCTCAGCTTCATTAACTTTTATTTAAACTGTTCTCTCCTCTGGAGACATTTACTTCAGTTTATATAGGTAATGCCTAACAAAAGGTCTAATCTAGCCCTCCTGTTCAGAGATTGTCAGAATGTGAAAAGACCATTTTTTCAAGTACAATATGTTGTACATAAGTACTCTTTAATGATTTATACTCACTGCCTAATTTGTATTGTCTACTTTTATATGAAATGAAACTTTCAAAACCTAAAAGCCTTGTTTTTGAAAAGAAGATAAAGAATCTGTTGTTGGGGAAACCCTGATCCAATTAAAAAGTAATTTCAGATTTCCCTTTATCTCAGGTATGTTGGGTAAATGTTTATCCTATTTTCATATACCATACAACAAAAAGCATAATAGGGAGGGGGTGTATCAAACCAAACTTTAATGATGAAATACGTCAAGTATAATGAAGTCAATTTTCTCCCAACTCATTGTCAGGTGAAAGGAATAATTAAAAAAAAGCATTGTTGCATTCAAACCTCTTACAAAATTTATTAGCTTGTTTGGGGATCATCCCACAGGAATGCCATTATTGCCATTGATTCAGATGATAAGGATATTTATTTACATGAGGTGGGAACACACAGGGTACACTTTGCTCTTTTCAAATTCTTTAAACACTAATTCTGAAGATTAATAGTTCTGTATAAAAAGTTCCTGGGTGTTTTGCATTCAAGGTTCTCTCAAAAGTCAATGTCTGACGTCTGTTGTGTCTGACGGGTTCTGAGGCATGGTTTTGCGGCATCTATCACAAATAATTTGTTCTCAAGAACTCCAGTTCAATGACCTCACTTGTTCTTGAGGATGTAACACTCAAACTATTTCCACTCTGCTCCTTAAAAACACAAATGCACTGAAAATTGGTGGTCCACAGTTTGGTTTTGAGCCCAAGTCACTTTAATGAAGAAATTATAAGTGTCAGTTATATGCAACAAAATAAATTGAACATTCAATAGTTCAACATTTTTTGGGCTTTCGAATCAGTTCTGCATAGTTGTGTTGACAACCCAGCAGACCTGAAAAATTCCTCAAGTGATTGAAATAAATATTCACCAAATGACTTTAGAATCAGAATGTCATTTTGAAACAAGTTCTGATGATGAACACATTCAGAAATTCTTCAAGTGAGTCACTCCCACTTTACAATAGTTATACTGTGACAAAGAAGAAGAATTAAGGATGCTCAAGACATATAACATGTGTAAGAATGTCCTATTTTTTACGGTCACAAGTCACACGCACACACATATAAAATCGGCACATCTCAGCAAGAGAAACTGGTGGAGCTGGAACTCATTCTCAGATGTGATAATTATATTGAAGAATGCTAGATAATTTTGACAGAACAAAATAAACAAATAAACAAACAAAAAGAAAAAAATTGGACCTATATCTTTGCATGTCATAACATACATTTGAAATTGCTTTACACAATTATTACATTAGACCCTGTTGTTTGAACGCTATTTGAAAAATAAAATGTTTTAACATTATGAAAAAGAATGCTAAAAGTAGTGAACTTTTGTATTCAATATAGGTGGAGAAAAAGATGTAAATATGTGCAGGGTAAGTGCAAAGTTTCAGGTGTTAAAAGTTGTTATTAATTTGTAAGGGTCTCAACTTTAAGAAAGCATTACCTCATTCCTGCTAGAGACAAAACCAACCAACATACTATATGTGTGGGAGATAAATAAATGAGAAATAAAAGAATTGTATGTTGAATTTTTTCCGCGCCAACGCTTGATTACTAACGAAATTTGGTACTGAAAAATTGTTCAGTGTTTAAATGTAGAGGAATCATTTTCAGATGTGCCATTTTATGCAATGAAACACAAATATACGAACTCCAGATTACATTTATACAACTTAGCACCATCACAAATAACAAATACTATACTAAACTGAATGACTATTTCATAGCAACAATAATCAATTTTATGAAATCTACTGGCACACATTTTAAAAAAAGAATTTTGATTTTAGACATATTGCTGATTTCTTTGTAAGAAATGTAAAAGCGTATACGATTGTCACATTTGCAGACTACCATTAAAAATGGCCTACCAACTCATTTATATATACTCAAATCCTAAGTATTGTAAAAACAAAAAATGCATCACCAGGATTCCACAAAAGTCATAATCACAAATTGCCCAATGATACAAGACATCAACAACTTTTTCTAAATTTGATCACTCCAGCAGCAACTGAGTCAATAAAACTTGAAGAGATCAGGTTATTTAAATAAAAGGCAAATACCACTTCCAGACTAGAAAACTTTTGCACCTGAATCACATATTAACCACCAGTGAGATGGGCAAGATAATCTATAATTTGGTTCCAGCTTTTGTTTCCCCTCTTTTATCACATGGGAAACAAAGCTCTAAAATTCTGGGTTGCATTCACAAAGCTGCCATGACAATGTACTTTTCTCATCTGAACTATCCTGACTTAATATGTTATGATGTAGCATGTCAAATTTTTATAAGATAGTCGAAAAGCAAAATTTTAAATGAGTGAAGCAGGAATCGTTTTCAAATGCTGTGCAACAGTGAAACTGGTATTACAGTACAAATATATAAAATCCCATGCCATTAGGTTGAATAGTTCAACAATGAACTGACAGAAATCAAGATATTAAAATGTTGTGTGGAAGAAATTGTACACAGGTAAAAGTAAATAGCAAACTACACGCATTTCTTATTGAAAACCATACCTACTTTTCAACTGTATTGGCACCATATATACTTTGACGCAAGCTTGGCACTTTGTGAAAGCTCAATTCACTACAAATTTGAATGTGTTGATACATACATATTGCATTAAAGTCTTTCTTTTTCATACCTTTGGCACATGAGTTTAACATTCAAAGTCTGAAAAATGATATCCGAAGACTTGAAGAGCGAAGAGTTCAGACATGTAAGGAAAACCTCTTCGGCATGAAAGATACTGAGCAATGTCTAAAATGTGATCTGTAGTGATTACTATTTGACTTGAATCCATACAATAACCATGGCCTCATAAAAAGTTGGATTGAAAAAGAAAAAAAGACACTCTTTCTTACTTTCCAAGGGACATTCTCCTTCTAGGGATGGAGAATGAAATGAGTGCACACCATGATAAATTTGAAATTCAGGACCATTTCAAATGGATTACCCCAAAAAACTAAAAACTAAATAAAATTGTGATAAACTTGATATGCAAAGGTAATGCCACACCATTTTGCAAATTAACTGTTTCAATCAGAAAGTGTGTCCATAAGGACACACAGAACTGAATGATGATGATAAGCATGGATTTCAAGACTACATACAGAATAATTAAGATGTGCTGCTTGCATAACAACATTTAAAGGGGGATATCAAGATGAGCACTATAAATTAAATTACGAACCACATCTGGCATAACTACTGCAACAATTTATGAGTAATGAGTAACTTTGAGAATATAGAACTATACAATTCTGAATCACAGCAATTACTAAGTACCAGCCTTAATGATCATAAAATCCTTTTAAATACTGATGGATTGCTTTCCCAAAAAATAAACACTTACCAATGACTTACTCCAACCAGACAAAATCAAATTTTACATCATGCAACGGACAATATAATTCTGTAGATTACTATACAATCAGGGGTAAAATTCATCATTGCTGCCAAATTTTCATGTCACAGGTTACGGTTCTTTTAAAAAATAACTTTAGTAATAGGGCAAGAATGAAGATGCTAATAACCAGTCACCTCTTTTAATGGTCCTTTTTTTCTTTCTCATGTCTGAGACCACACCAAGCAGTGAAACAAAATAAAATAAATAAACTGGACCCAGAGATAAAACATTGATAAACATTCAATTCCAATAACCGCTACAAAACATGTCTAATTCAATTGACTGATAGAAGAAAAGAAACACCATCAAATTGGATAAAGGGTTGGTAGGTGCTCGTTTCATCTAAAGAATTAAGGTGGTTGCAGTGAAGAATTTGTGGATGCCCTAGGAATGACGTTTTAACTGGGAAATTGACACAGTACTACAAAACAGGCTGAGAGGTTTCAGGGGATAGGGCAAACAGTCTTGCTCCTTAAGATAGATAATCACATACCAATTTTCATACAGCAAAATTAAAATAGTATGGGCAATGGCCCAGAAATTTAATTCATTCCATTGACGGGTAGGTCCTGGAAGGTCCCCTGTCTAGAGGGTCCCCCCTGAATTTTTT